TAGAGCTGTGCGTCGCCCGCCTAGCTTTTAGCGGAAGAGGTTCGCTCTCGCCCCGCCGACCAACAAAGGGCGTGTGTGTGTACGATGGTGCAGGCCTGCCCGGTGGAAACACCTGCATAGCTCTACCTCTCACCTCATTGTGCGCTGCCCTCAAGGCGCACGCGTCTCTGGGGGGCAACCCGACTCATAGTGCGGGCGCTGTCCCCCAGGGGGTGAGCATATGCGGGTAAGCTCATTGGTACGATCATCCTTCTCCCAGAGGAGCGGGAAAGGAGGATTCGGCCACGCGCAGATGGAGGCAGGGGAGGGGGGAGGCTCCCCCTGCTCCACCCACTTCTGCGCGCCGCCAAGAAGCGCACATATGCACGACTGGCGTTTCTCCAGAGGGTTTCAATAGTGGTGGCTAGAAAACCGCAGGGGAGTCCCACACAGGGTGCAGGTAGTCCGAGAATGCTGAGTCTGGCAGCGGTCCGGCGGCGGCTTCGCCTGCGGATTCCTCGCGATTTATCCCAAAATCGTGCTCTCGCCTGAATGGCGGCTTTAATTTTGGTCTCGACGGTCACGATTCTTGGTACACAGTGCACTCAGGTGCACATGGCCGTGGTCTCACCCCTGTCCTCGATCCGCCTCTTCACCTTTGCTGCTATTAGGGCGCTTTGCTGGGGTGATCTGATTTTCTTAGCGCGGTGTGCTGGGAAGCGCTCGCGGACGCCGCACTTGCGGCAACTACTAGCCCGACGAGGTATTCAACATTTTCCACTGGCTGTGCTGTCTTTTCTCCAAGTTGACCAGCCCGTGGGTCTAGCTTGCCACACTTGCCCAGGACTCGCGACGCGCCGTCTCTGTGATGTCGGGACCAGCCCCCTGATTGTCATTGTTTTCGCCGGCCACCCCCCGCTGAGGTGGTCGCGAGCTCCTTGAGAAGTCCGCTCTACGACGCCGAGGTGGGCGCCGTGGGAAGCTGCCCTCCTGCCGACGAAGGGGAGCAGTGCGGCAGGAAAGACGGGCGGGTGAGGCAACGTGAAGGGGAGACGATGTGCTTTCGAGCATGTTTCAGAGGAGCAAGAATCTAGGCGTCCTAGGCGGGGTCGGAGTAGATGGGGTCGGAGGATCACTCCGCATCGCCGATGCATCGCTGATGCGTCTCGCTGTGGAGCCCGATTTGCTTCACGTCGACGTCACCGATGCACCGCCCACGTCGGCGATGCGGCGCGATTCTCCGACCACATCTACTCCGACCTCACTGAGGAGGCCCTTTCTAAAGAGGGCATGGTGATAATGATGCTTTCCAAGCTGTCCTACGCTTCCCGGATGTCCGACCGTCCCGCATGGGCTCTAGAAGCGAGGGTCGCACTCGAGAATTCCTGGAACTCTGGAGCCTATCGAATCATGTCGTCGTTGTTGTCCTACAGTGGGGACGCGCATCAAGAATCCAGATGCGCTTTGTCAGGGTGCCCTGGATTTCTTTGTTCCACACGCCGCTACGTGGCGACTCCCAGCGGCCGTGGAAGGAGCTGCTGCGTTCAGGGTGTTCCCGGTCTCCCCTCAGGTGCACCTCGTGCGCCGGCTATCGGGGCTGGGTTTCTTGCGAGGGTTTCTTGCGACCGCGCCCGCACTCTCCTGTTGCTGGTGTGTGTGTGTGTGTGTGTGTGTGTGTGTGTGTGTTTGTACAGACACAGGCGTTCCTCTTGTGCGCTGTCCTCCAAGCCCAGCCGCGTCTGAACCTTGGGATCATGGCGCGGCCCATGCGCCCATTGGCTGGTAGGGGTGGGCTTCCGTCTGTGAATGCATGACGAACCACTTCCCTCATCAATTCGCCTCCCGCAGCTGTTAGGAATACCGTCGTCGTCGCCCGTTAGCTTCAGGAGTGATAAGGGAGAGGAGAGAGGCACCAGTCTTGGACTGGCGGGTACCAAACGTGGGAGGCACATCGGCCCACTCTAAACCATTCATCTGCGCCGTAGGAGTCGTGGAGACTGTATACCGAGCCTGCCGCTAATAAAACTCTTGACGACGTGCGTGCATCTTTCAGTGTCCACTTCAGCCCGAGCATTCCGATTCTATGCCGATTCTGGCCAACGTGGCTGGATTCGATTCCGATGTTTCGGCGATTCGATGCGGCCCGATGCTTGCATGGCACTGTTGTGCTCAGGCAGACCCACGATAAGGTTTGGAACGGCCGCGGCGCCTGATACATCCTGCAGGCCTGCCAGGTCTCAGCTCCCCCGAATGGGGCCTCGCCGTCGGCCAGTACCGAGGAGCTGACCTCCTCCCCCTTTGGCAGGAGCCCTCGGGACGCTTCCGGAAGTCGGCGGACGTAATCAAGGACGGCTCCTGCGGAGTCGGTCTTATGGGTCCTGATGAGGGTCTCGAGCACGTGCGCAGCAGGTCGTGCCATCGCTCGTGCTGGGCACGCACGTCGGGCAGCATCGGCAAGTGGCTGCCGCGCGCCGTGCGCCGCAGGATTGCTTCTGGAAGTGGGCGGGCGTAAGGCAGCATTGGGTGTTGCTATAGGAGGAGGAGGAGGAGGAGGAGGAGGAGGAGGAGGAGGAGGAGGAGGAGGAGGAGGAGGAGGAGGAGGAGGGGAGGAGGAGGAGGAGGTGGAGGAGGAGGAGGAGGAGGAGGAGGAGGAGGAGGAGGAGGAGGAGGAGGAGGGGGGAGGAGGGGGAGGAGGGAGGGGGAGGGGGAGGAGGGAGGGGAGGAGGGCCATGGAGGCCCCCGTGGCCTCCGGAGCGCCCCTCGCGAGGCCCAGGGGCCCGCGACGGCTCCAAAGTGGAGCGCAGAGCTGTCGGGGCTGTCTGGGCCAGGGGCACCTGGAGCACCCCCCGCGAAAGCGAGGGTGGCTTCTCCGGCGGAGGTGAAACATCTGCCCGCCATCAACGTCTGCGTGCATATTGTTTCGGGGCCCGGCCCCCTCCACCTCCTCCTCCCCTCCTCCTGTCCCCCTCCCTCCTCATCTCCTCCTCGCTCCTCTCCGACCCCTCCTCCTCCGCCTCCTCCTCCTCCTGCCTCCTCTCCTCCTGCTCCCTCCTCCTCCTCCTCCTCTCCTCCTCCTCCTCCTCCTCCTCCTCCTCCTCCTCCCTCCTCCCTCTGTGGCGCGTTCCAGACAGGGCCTCGCCTCCGGCCCGTCTCGTCGCCTCCGGCGGCAGCCGGCGGAGTTCAGAAACGGCGGCGGCTCCGCCGGCAGAAGCCTCGGCGGCGGGCGGCGGAAGTAACTCGGGAGGGGGCAAAAACACACAGACACAATTATTCGTCCATTCCCCCCCCAAAATATGGGAAAATATGGGAAGTGGGGGGGGGGAGACAGAAGCCCAGAACATGTGGGGAAATATGGGGAAGCATTTTGTTTGTGTGTATTTATTTGTGTGTCCCAGGGCCCCTTCAGTAACGGCGAGACGTCAACGACGAGCGAACGGCGCACACCCATACCCGTAGAAGTGGTGACGGAGAGGGCTCTGGGTGCGTGCTGTCGGATGGTGGGTCCCCGCTCGAACAAGGAGCCTTCCCTGGGGTCCGACAGCCCGCAGCCATACGCCTAGCCGGTCCTCCTCCCTCCGACCCCCCCTATGGCGATGGGCGTGTGTTCTTCGTTCGCCAGCCAGCCCTGTTCAGACCCATCGGTCGGTTCCAGCGTGGGCGCCTTGCCTTTCGGCAGAGCGGGGGGGGGGGGCCTTTTCTGTCCCGGCCGCTGCGGCAGGCAGGCGGCGACGGGAGCGGCCAAGAGGGGGGGGTCCAAGAGGGGGGGGGGTGCAGATCATGACCGGCGGCATGTGCGCGGCCCAGCGGGGGGGCCAGGGACGTCATGAAACAAGCAGAGGCGCCATGAAATCTGGGGAGATATCATGGCCCCCGCCACGATATCCCCCCCCCCCAGTCATCAGCCCCCTCTTTTCCGCCCCCGAGGACCCCAGGGCTCGCGCGGGGTCGGAGGAGGAGGAGAGGAGAAGAAGGAGGAGAAGGAGGAGGAGCCTCGAGGCCTTTTCCTCCTCCTCCTCCTTCTCCTCCCCCTCCTGGGGGCCTAGGAGGGACAGCTGCGGCTGCCGCCAGATGTCGTAATAAAAGGGAGGGGGTCTGGACCCTCCAAGACAAGCCATTTCAGACCCCCCCCGTGGGAGAACCCTCCAAAACATCGCCCCCCAGACCCCCCAGGCCCTCCAAGATAGCCTGGAAGAGACCCCCCCCCGAAATGAGACCCCCCTCCCTTTCTTGCGAAATCTGGAGTGCCGCTGCGCCCTTGCTCCGCTTCCGCACCGTGGGGCCTCCTGAGAGGCCCTCGCCGCCTCGGCCAGACTCGCCTCGGACGCCTTGTCGGAGCGCGCACCCTCGGAGAGAGAGGTCTGGGGAGCAGCGGCATCGGCATCGTGTGGCTTCTCCCCAGCTCAGGCGCGCAGAAGCCAGCCCCAGTGGCGGCTCGCTAGGGCCTCAGAAGCCCGGACACGGCAACAAAAAGCATGGCGCTGGCCATCGCGCGAAGGGCCAGGGTGGTGTCTCGGCCCACGGCCGCAGTTTCCTCGGGTGCGTCGGCGTGCTAGATGATCAAGCAGTCCCCGTCTGCGGAGCTCTGGGCGCGAGGGACGCTGCGGCGAGGTGATACAGGCGATGTGCGCTTTCCGCGAGCCCCTGTACTCGCTGTTCGTGCACTACGCTACCTCCTGCGATCCTGCCCCAGACCACCGCCACGCATTACCGAGCTTTGGAGGTGGGCTGCGGCAACGCATCGCATGCTTTGGGGAATGACGTAGGTCCGAGCCCACTGTCACCGTCTGTGGAGATCTGCACTCAGGTTGCTTAGTCTTAGATATATCGCAGTTAGGAGAGCAGAGAGGATTGAGGATGCCCCTCCTCTACTTCTCCTCCTCCTCCCGTTCTCTTGTCTCTTTTTCCATGGCCTCCATTTTCCCCACCCTTGCTTCTGGCTTTCTCTTTCTCTTTCTCTCTCTGTCTCTCTCTCTATGTATGTATGTATGTATGTATGTATGTATGTATGTATGTATGTATGTATGTATATATGCATGTATGTATGTATGTATGTATGTATGTATGTATGCATGTATGTATGTATGTATGTATGTATGTATGTATGTATGTATGTATATATCTATGTATGTATGCATGTATGTACGTATGTATGTATGTTTGTATGTAGTTATGTGTGTATGTACATATGTATAGATGTATGCGTGTATGTATGTATGCATGTATGTATGTATGTAGGTATGTATGTATGGATGTATGTATGTATGTATATGTGTATGTATGTATGTATGCATGTATGTATGTATGTGTGTACATATGTATGTATGTTTGGATGCATGCATGTATATATGTTTGTATATATGCATGCATGTATGTATAAGTGTATGCATGTATGTATGTATGCATGCATGTATGTATGTCTGCATGCATGTATGCGTGCATGTATGCATATGTATGTATGTATGCATGCATGCATGTATGTATGTATGCATGCATGTATGTATGTCTGTATGTATGTAGGTAGGTAGGTATGTATGTACGTATGTATGTACATATGTATGTATGCATATATGTATGCATGTATGTATGTCTGTCTGTATGTATGTATGTATGCATGTATGTATACACGTATGCATGTATGTATATACATGCATGCATGTATGTATGTATGTATGTATGTATGTATGTATGTACGTATGTATATATATATATATGTATGCATGTATGTATGCATGTATGTATATATGTACATCTGTATGTACATATGTATGTATGTATGTATGTATGTACGTATGTATGTATGTATGCATGTATGTATGTATGTATGTGTGTGTGTATGTATGTCTGTCTGCCTGTCTGTCTGTCTGTCTGTCTGTCTGTATGTATGTATGTATGTATGTATGTATGTATGCATGTATGTATGTATGTATGTCTGTGTGTATGTATGCATGCATGCATGTATGCATGCATGTGTGTACATGTCTCTATACACATACATATACATATATACATATATATATATATATATCCCTCGCCTTCCTCCCTTCCGCTCTCCAGGCCCCTCCCATAGTCTTTCCGCAGAGGTATATGCAACCCCTGCCGAGAGTAGCCACTCCGCAGTCGTACCAGCGCAGCATCCGGCTGGAACGGTCGCCACCCAGGGTGCGGACCCACACGGCGGCGGGACTTGCTGCGGGACCTCGGGCCCGCGAGCCCGCGAGGCCACCGCGGAGGCCGCCCGCGCAGACAGAAGGCCAAGCGGGGCGGCGCAGCGTGCCCCCTCGGCGGGGAGGTCCCCACAGAAGGAGAGGGGACGATGGGGGCTGTCGGCCGAGAGCAGCGCGGACGGCCGCCCGCCCCCCCCGCCCGTCGCCCGCGCGGGACGGGCGGAGGAGGAGGAGGAGGACGAGGAGGAGGAGGAGGAGGAGGAGGAGGAGGAGGAGGAGGAGGAGGAGGAGGAGGAGGAGGAGGAGGAGGAGGAGGAGATTCGGGAGCCTGCGCCCTCCGCGAGCACGGTGGGGCAGCCGCCTCCGCCAGGCGACGGACGGAGCAGCGACGCAGCGGCGCCCCCGCCCCCCCCCCCCGACGGCCCAGCCGCAGACGGCCAGGGGCCGGACCCAGCACAGCACGGAGGGCAGGTGCGGCGGGCAGCAGGCACGCAGGCGCCCCCCCTGTCGAAGTGCCGAGGGCCCCGGCGAGGTGCCCGCGGCCGTCGGGCACGGCGCCCCGCCAGCAAACGGCAACGCCGAGGAGGGGCGGCCTCCTCGACTTCGGCGACGAGCGCTGCACGGCTTCCCCCCGCAGCGAGGCGAGTGAGCGGGACAGGGCATCGGTGGATTAGCCGAGCGACTCGCCGCCCAACATGGGCGGGGGAAGCTCTTTTGGAACCGTTCGGAGAAAGACGTGCGGGGCAGAACACATACACAGGTGCGCCGAGGAGGAACATCCCCCACAGTGTGCGGCCTGCTCGGCGGAGGCCAGCGCTACGACCTCCTCGGCCCGCGTTTGGCGCCCTAGGCAGACGAGGCCGCGCTCGAGGGAACGCTCGGGCGGGTGGCGGCGGCCGCGCGGACTTCAACGCGGAGGAGATGCCGATGAGGGAGTTCGTTGACCAGACACCAGACGAGGAGCAGATTCAGAAACGGCTGAGGGCGCTCCACGGCTGCACACAACGGGCTGTGCTGGAGGACGCCGTGGCAAGCCTCGAGGCGGTGGTCAACCGAGGGGGCGCACGAGGTCCCGCTGCAGCTGGGGACCCGCGCGATGGCGGGGGCCAGCTTCGCGCGGAGGTGCCGCGCGGCGACGGAAGAGAGCCGCCGAAGGCTGAAGGCGCGATTGGGTGGCATCGATGGATGCCTCGCCGGATAAATCTACGGGACTAGAGGGGAGGCCCTTCGCTGGAGACGGCGCGACTGGCTGCGCGCGCGCGTCCACGCGGTGTGTGCGCATGTGCGTGGGGCGGGGGCGGTGTTCGGATGGCTCTCGCGCGCGCGCGGCGTCCCGGGGCTGGGGGCGACCGTGCGCCTCGTCGGCTGCGCGCGCGCGCCGGGGCTGCCGGGCCATGGGGGCCGACGGTGCCTGGGCAGGTGCGGCGCGCCGTGGTGTGGGCGGAGCGCGCGGCGGGCCTGGGCCTGAGCGCCAGGCACTCGGCTCTCTGCTCGGCCGCAGGCCTAGCAGGTCGTCGCGAGCGTGGAGGCGCCCCACGGCGCTGTCGGTGCTAGCCGACCCCTCAGGGGGGCGGAGCGGCGGCGGGGCTCCGCGCGACCCTTCGGGGCGGGGGCCCAGCCCGCGCGCTGGCGCGTCGCCGCCCCCCCCCCCCCGCACCGCGCCTGCGCAGCGGCGCATGCGGCGCAGCGCGGCGGCTCGTCGAGACCCGCGAGGACAGGCGTGGCCTGTTGGCCCGCGAGTTCGATGGCGAGATCTATTGCAACACCGTCGGCGCATTTTTAGCATATCTACCGCCTCAGACTGGTGGCCCAGGCTGCTCGGGGCCGGATTGCGGGCGATCCCCTCCGCCTGCTGGAAGACTGCCGGCCCGGGGAACAGCTCGCCAACGCCGACGTCCTGGAGGCGATCGAAACAAGGCGGCGCAGGAGATTGGCAACGCCCTTGGCGATCGTCCATCTCTGCTTCTTCGGCTTCCTGGTGCAGATGGCCAGGGCTCGGGGCTGCCTCGAGGTGGACTGATTCGGCCTCCGCTTCGACAGCGCCAGTCACGCCGTGGGCCTCTCGGAGGCGAGGGCAGATTGGGTGGCCGACCGGCGGACGGTCGAATGCGGCGCCATCCACGGGGGCGGGAGGGCGGCAGGCCTGGGGCGCCTGAATCTCGCGTTGATGGTCCATGTCTGGGAGTGGCCGCTCCTGGAGACGGCGCGCGCGCGGCTCGTTGGCGCGCGCTTGAAATAAAGAAAGAATGGTTCCCTCGGCCCGCGGGCAAGGCAGACGACCCGACGCCGGAGCTCCCCTGCACTATCTCCCGCGTGATTCCGTTCTCAAGGCCCAGGGAGTTTTGCCAGGGGGCGATGCTTGAGATGGCGGGGTCGACGGACAACCTGGGGAACGCCCGCCGCGCAGTGTCTAGGGCTAGGTCGACCGATTGGCCTTTGACGGCCCCCTTCGTTGAGCTTTCGGAGGAGCGGGGGCCGCGCGAGGTGGCGCTGGGTTTCGACTAGCAAGGGGAACCGGAGGGCAGACGGCCCCGGCAACGTGAGGATGGCGGGCTCCGACGAGTCCCTCGGGGCCCACCTGGCGGCCGCGGGCCCGAGAGGGCGCGTGCTCGACGGGGCGATGCAGGCTGGCCACATATTCTACGCGTCGATCGCCGAGGGGAGAGCGGCCGCCGTAGGGGGGCGCCCGCGGCCAGGCGCGGCCGCGGGAGCAGCGAACGACGCGCGACCTCGAGCCGCGGTGACGGCCAGTGCGCCTCGGACGACGTCGCGCGGGCGGAGCTGGAGCGGTTGCAGCGGCGCCCTGGCAGGAGAGGGCGCTGGCGAGGAGGCGGCGGCGCGCGGGTGGCCCAGGGGGCCGCGCCCGCCGCGGCGCCGCGGGCGCCGTTGCAGCGCGTGGCCGCTCGGAATGCACCCCCGCTCAGGGGCCGTCGACCGTTCGCCCGGGGTGGCGTCCCGGGCGGGGCTCGGCGGCGGCCGCGTGCAGGGGGGGTCTCGGAGCGTCGGCGTGGCGCGCTTGCTGGATGGTCTCGAACCGCAGTTTCCGGCGGGGCCTCCCACGGTGGGCCCGCCCCCTCTCTTCGGGCGCCCCCGCTCTTCCGCCGCGGGCGGGGGCGGGGGCCCGGGCGGGAGAGGGGGTCTCACGAGTGGGGGGCCGTTCGGAGGTTGGGCGCGGTTTCGAGACCGCGCCTCTCGGCCCCTGAGGGCGCGCAGGCGGCGAGCAGCGGCGGTGGCGTCGCGAGAGGGCGGGGGGGGCCGAGGTGAGAAGGCAGTCGGGCCCTCGACGTTCGCGGCCTCTGGGGGGGGGGGGCGGGGGCGGCCGTCGCCCCATTATCACTTTTGTTTTCTCCTATCTCTCGCCGCCTCGCGCCCCCTCCACGCCCCCGACCCCCGTTCTCGCCCCCCACCTGTTTTTGCGGGTAGCTCGCTCCCATCGCGCAGGGCCTCTATCATCGTCTCCCGTATATCGGGCGTCGCCGTCATTTCATTCGTTTTTGCCGCCGTCGCATTGCTATCGAGGCTCTGCGAGGGCGCGCCACCGCGCGCCCGCGCGAAAGTGCATCCTCTTCCTTGCCCTACGTCCGCGGCCATTGGGGTTCAGGCGCCTTGCCGTTTCAGAATGGCCCACCCGCGACCGCCCGAGGGCATCGAGTTCCCGGGGGTGGCAGGGGCCCGGCGCGCCGGGCCCTTGGCGCCGCCGCCCGTAGCAGGGGCCCCGCCTCCACCTTAATCACTCCTTCCAACCTGGTATTGCGCCTCTCTTAGGGCTCTGCGAGGATGCGAACTATTGTGCGCTATTATGCGCGCGCGTTGATCAAAAGTCACACGTTTCCAAGACTACCTTGCGCAAGACGACG